ATTTATGGCATAAAGAGCAGATGATTTGCTGAGTGGGTTCTGTAACTTCGGATTCGTTAATGGAAAGGAATTTATTGACCTGACTGAGTAATATAAACTTTTCGAGGAAGACAAGTAGTTCGTTTACATGCCTCTAATAAACATTCACATGAACGCAATGAAGAAGGTTATTATACTTTCGAATTTATAATTATGGACACGGTCAACTTCATTGCATAATAGTGTATTTCTAGATGATTCCATAAAATGTTTCTACCAGTTTGTTAACAACTTTTTTACATACCTGAGACACAAAAAGACACCGATATTCTCACAACATATTACTTAGCAACATGCGCCGATCGTATATACTTACTCATCAGATGACGTGCCGCTTTGTTTTATGTAGTAGTTGATGAGCCCAGCTCTATAGGAAAGTGAACACCGGAGCGAATTGTTACACGAGTTCTGCTTCCCGTCCACAGCATGACGTCACAACGCAAAGTTCTTACTCTTTGAAGCACTTTTCTGGACAAATTGATGGAGTTGTCACTCATCCCTATGCGAGTCCTGAACCTCGCCTACAGGCTGTTCAAAAATTAACTACTGGACATGAGTCGTTTGTATTCTAAACACTAACCAACGAAATAGATGGCTTAGGAAAATCGAAGGTTCATCACAGAACTAACTAAAGCCCTCCACCGGTCCCTGTCCTGGGCTAGCAAAATCCGATCGCCTTCAACTCTTATCTCCCATACAATTTTACAATTTGTTACATTAACACTGTCATTCATATAGCCTTTCGGTTTCTTTCAAGAATCTGACCTGCATGAGAGACAAGCTGACCGAATGGTGTATTGGGAAGGATGTGGGAGAATAGATGATATATAACTAATTCAGATGACGAAGCCCGTTAAATATTGTATACTTTTAAGGTGATCTGCGTTAAAGTTGTCGTTTTCTGGATTGTTGCGTTGTGTGATCTTTGGATTGTACCCAAGGTTTCGGAAGAGTTTGCTGCCTGCTTTACCAGGGCTTAAAACATTGTTTTCGAACCCAAGACCACACGGCGCAACAACCCAGAAGATCATTATCGTTACCCCGTTAAATTAATATCATTCGGATAAATTAAAAACTAAAGTTCCACTTTGTTTACGCAACAAGCCATGTTACCGAACTTTGTGGTCGAGCGATTCACACTTGCGAGATACAGGATTCAAACCTCGGCTCTCAGGGCGGGGTTTTCCTCAGTCCTTCCAGGAAAATATCAAAATAGTACCTTAATTTAGGCAACGACCGCTTTCTTTCACATCCCTTCCAATTCACTATCATCGACACTATACAGTCTGAGCTGCTGATAAGCGTCGTTAAATAAACCACAAATAAATAAATAACAATCCATGTTCAGTAATCACTAAGCAGAGTTAAATGTTCACGCATTCTAGACCTCAGCACTAGAAGTCAGCTTATGCTCTGACAGTTCTGGTTCTGGGTAAACAGTCCCAAGTGACTAATGGACAAATAAAACAGTGTGGGTCCCACAATTCGTGTGGAAACAGTGGAGGCGTAGAAAAAAGTCCCACAGAGAATCGAACTTGTGTCCTAGAATCACCAAATCACGCTACAATCGAATCTGGACGTCTCCGTTTCGAACGTCAGCCAAACCTGAGTAAAGTGTCTTCGTGCGGTTCTTTTTAGTACTTACAGGCAAATTCGTAAATAGCTTCAAATATTCCAATACTGAGTTCTGTCTAATCCTCTTCAGAACACCAAACTATCGTTCTCAACACTCACGGGCAATCAAACTGCTACTTAACACTTCTGATTTGACAGAAACTACCGCTACGTGGCACTACTGCTACGTCTCACACAACACAAAGGATGGGTAGTCAGCGGACCTGCTGGCTAACGCGCTGTTACAGTAAACATGCACCCACCCCAAGTTCGTGCAAACAGACAGAATTTAAGTATTATCTATAGCATTTATCATTGTTTATGTAATAAATATCAACCAATACGACGCTCAAAACGGTTACCGCTGCAAGACATAATATAACTGATATATTATTCTTTGATAAAAACAGAACAGTAACATAAAATTATACCGGAAGGGGGACTAGGTTAAGCAGCAGTAACAGCATAATATAAACTTTTCGAGGAAGACAAGTAGTTCGTTTACATGCCTCTAATAAACATTCACATGAACGCAATGAAGAAGGTTATTATACTTTCGAATTTATAATTATGGACACGGTCAACTTCATTGCATAATAGTGTATTTCTAGATGATTCCATAAAATGTTTCCACCAGTTTGTTAAAAACTTTTTTACATACCTGAAACACAAAAAGACACTGATATTCTCACAACATATTACTTAGCAATCGTATATACTTACTCATCAGATGATGTGCCGCTTCGTTTTATGTAGTAGTTGAGGAGCCCAGCTCTATAGGAAAGTGAACACCGGAGCGAATTGTTACACGAGTTCTGCTTCCCGTCCACAGCATGACGTCACAACGCAAAGTTCTGACTCTTTGAAGCACTTTTCTGGACAAATTGATGGAGTTGTCAGTCATCCCTATGCGAGTCCTGAACCTCGCCTACAGGCTTCTCAAAAACTAGCTACTGGACATGAGTCGTTTGTATTCTAAACACTAACTAACGAAATAGATGGCTTAGGAAAATCGAAGGTTCATCACAGAACTAACTAAAGCCCTCCACCGGTCCCTGTCCTGGGCTAGCAAAATCCGATCGCCTTCAACTCTTATCTCCCATACAATTTTACAATTTGTTACATTAACACTGTCATTCATATAGCCTTTCGGTTTCTTTCAAGAATCTGACCTGCATGAGAGACAAGCTGACCGAATGGTGTATTGGGAAGGATGTGGGAGAATAGATGATATATAACTAATTCAGATGACGAAGCCCGTTAAATATTGTATACTTTTAAGGTGATCTGCGTTAAAGTCGTCGTTTTCTGGATTGTTGTGTTGTGTGGTCTTTGAATTGTACCCAATGCTTCGGAACAGTACGCTACCTGCTTTATCAGGGCTTAAAACATCGTTTTCCAACCCAAGACCACACGGCGCAACAACCCAGAAGATCATTATCGTTACCCCGTTAAATTAATATCATTCGGATAAATTAAAAACTAAAGTTCCACTTTGTTTACGCAACAAGCCATGTTACCGAACTTTGTGGTCGAGCGATTCACACTTGCGAGATACAGGATTCAAACCTCGGCTCTCAGGGCGGGGTTTTCCTCAGTCCTTCCAGGAAAATATCAAAATAGTACCTTAATTTAGGCAACGACCGCTTTCTTTCACATCCCTTCCAATTCACTATCATCGACACTATACAGTCTGAGCTGCTGATAAGCGTCGTTAAATAAACCACAAATAAATAAATAACAATCCATGTTCAGTAATCACTAAGCAGAGTTAAATGTTCACGCATTATAGACCTCAGCACTAGAAGTCAGCTTATGCTCTGACAGTTCTGTTTCTGGGTAAACAGTACCAAATGACTAATGGACAAAGAAAACTGTAAAACAGTGTGGGTCCCACAATTCGTGTGGAAACAGTGGAGGCGTAGAAAAAAGTCCCACAGAGAATCGAACTTGTGTCCTAGAATCACCAAATCACGCTACAATCGAATCTGGACGTCTCCGTTTCGAACGTCAGCCAAACCTGAGTAAAGTGTCTTCGTGCGGTTCTTTTTAGTACTTACAGGCAAATTCGTAAATAGCTTCAAATATTCCAATACTGAGTTCTGTCTAATCCTCTTCAGAACACCAAACTATCGTTCTCAACACTCACGGGCAATCAAACTGCTACTTAACACTTCTGATTTGACAGAAACTACCGCTACGTGTCACTACTGCTACGTCTCACACAACACAAAGGATGGGTAGTCAGCGGACCTGCTGGCTAACGCGCTGTTACAGTAAACATGCACCCACCCCAAGTTCGTGCAAACAGACAGAATTTAAGTATTATCTATAGCATTTATCATTGTTTATGTAATAAATATCAACCAATACGACGCTCAAAACGGTTACCGCTGCAAGACATAATATAACTGATATATTATTCTTTGATAAAAACAGAACAGTAACATAAAATTATACCGGAAGGGGGACTAGGTTAAGCAGCAGTAACAGCACTTCCCCGTATAAGAGTTTGTTTAGCTAGATGCCGAGCAGCACAATACACTTCGGTAAAAAACCTATCTTCTGCTGCTCCGCTCTGGTGGACATCCGACGAGTTATAATTATGGCATGCCCGACACTGGGTCCTGAACAGAAACAAAGACAATCATAGTATGTTGCACCATCGTGCTTTTCTTGCTTGCGAGAGTTACCATGGAAACTGTGATACAGGGCTTGACCTCACTATACTTATGCGGAATTAATTCGCTAAAACAAACGTCGATCTGGTCGGAATATACATTTACTTACTCAGAGCCATCTGTATGATTTTAGCAACGACGTTATTAGACGTATATTAAAATGTAAATAGCACGAGTATTTTTCAAATGACTTTAAACAAATTGTTTTTAGTGTTGTTTGTGTGTACTTACAGACAGACAAACGGGCAAATTGATTTTAGCAGACACTCCTTAAGGATGGGAACGCACCGAAAAAGGGTTCATATGACCATAAATGCTATATATGTCTTTATAGCCTGTAACAGTGCCCTATACATAATATATTTAAAATAAGTAGCTGTTTCCATGAAACTTGCAATTCTTGTACTTCATATTGTTTTGAAATTTTAACAGCAATCTTGTAAAATCCTTATGTAGAAGAAATATGATCGTAGGTTCGTCGTATATTTAACGAAGCTGTAACAATGTAGTTACTTAGGTAGTTAGTTGGTTGGTTGGTTGGTTGGTTAGTTAGTGGCAATTAGGAGATTATTTGGCTGCAAATATAATAAATGTAATAAAGATCATAATAAATTTCATTACACCATTTCAGAATTTACCTGTAGGGAGTAGAAAGAATCACAAGAAATGGTTTTTAAAATAAAACGATGACCACGCCAGCAATCAAACGGGCTATGTAAGGAAGACGCAATGTTGTTTGAACTAACCTGCACGGTGTCATTTAATACAAATACTGAACATCTGAACGTCTGTGTAGGCTGTCAATAGATTCCACACACAAAAAATAATTCTAGTCAAAATTAATTGAACAGCAGAAAATTAAAATTGCATTTAAAAAATTTTCTACCGTTTAATAAAGGTTGACTAAAAATTTAAATTTTCTTTCAATTTACATACGCCAAGGCCTTCCCGATCAGCTAGCTTCGATCGCTCTTTAACTTTTTCGTATATACCTCGACGTAATTAGGTTCATCACGTTCATCTATTCACTTTTTGACGATTTTACCATAACTTACGAACAAACAAACTTGATAACATGCACAGTAACGTTTTGTCAGAAACCCGGACATAATAGAACAATTGACTATCATAATATTCCTATCCGCTGCTGTAGTTTGCCTTCATCGCGAGAAACTTAATACATTGAGGAGCATCTATTGACCTCAACATTACAGTCCAGGGTAAACGATCTTGATATAGTCTCGTTACCAACAGGCATCTACGATCACGTTGTGAAGGAACACAAAATCAGATTCCCACAGTTTATGCATTATTATCATAAGTTGCGTAAAGCAGACGTCAAGTTTGTAAGGCTGTTTAATGAGTTTCGATAGGATTTCGTATTGCAAGTCTTGCACAGAACATTATCAAAACAATTTCATTAATTACGAGATGATATTGTTGCGTCATATTGTGATGATTATAATTGTTTATTTTAACCGTCTAATCACATTGTAAATCGAAACAAACGACTCAATGTAAAAATGGCACGTAAATATAATAAGCCATAAATATAATTAAAACTAACAATATATATAATTTTGTAGGAGTTAATGTTTCCATGGATGTGAATTTTAAAATGGCTATCTTCTATCTATAAATCTAATCGAACTTCTTAGTGTTCAACAAAAGACTCAATGTAAAAATGGCACGTTAATATAATAAGCTATAAATATAATTTAAACTAACAATATATAAGTTTGTATGAGTTGATGTTTTCACGGATGTTAATTTGAAAATGGCTGTCTTCTGTCTACAAGTTTTACTGTAAATATTTTAAAATAGGACGCGTATTAAAGGGGGTCATTTTCGTATAGACTGAATGTAACTTAATATTCTGGTACAATGGTGCGTTCTACATTCCGATATAATATTTATTGAAAAGTCCAATTTCCGAATTAGACATCTTCTATTTTCCTGACTTAGTGACGTGGCGTCATATTTCTGTTACGTCTCCTCCTTAACGCTCGGAGTTTGGCATTAAATAACAAAGCTTCTGATATTTCGTACCAAGCACTTAAAATGCCATCCTCGAGCTACAACGCAGCACCGAGCACGTACTCAAACGGCCTTCTTCAAGAAGGTGCCATCAGAACTGCTACGTCCTTGAGTGGAGTAGAATCAACGAAAGTTTTAAGTGTTCCTACAGACAAAAATCTATCCAGTGTAGTGTTACCAACGAACACCATGAGTAATACAAACATAAAAGACAGAGATACGGAGTTTGGGTGTTGTAAATTAAAATACGTTCGGCACTCGAATCTCTGCCACTGTTAAAAGTGAAATGTATCGTCAAAATTTTGCCGTGTGTATCATTTGGTAACGCCATATTCTTTGTCTATGGCCTTTTCTGGTCGGCGTCGCTCCGACCGAAGACGGACACTAACGAAAGTTTGGCGCCACATTTGAAATTTCAGGAGATGAGGACGGCTGTAACTCGGTTAGGAGGCTTTTCCTTACCCACGTCCATTTGAATTTTTACATTACCTTACCGTGCAGAACCCATCTTTACATTCGCGTCAAACATTGAAGTTGTGTATGCCTTGTATTTTAAAACCGTGTATTCGCTTTGTACTTGTAAATTTTACTAATCAAAACTGTCGGAAACAACAATGTATACAAAGTCGCGAATAATGTATTTGAAATGTGTTAGCAGTCTAAACTGCAACAGGTTAGGCCTAGAAGACTCCACTGTTAT